TACTGGGAGGAATGTATTATTTTCTTTTTAAGAAGATACATTTTGAATAGGATAACTACTAATGAAGATTTATTTTAAACAGAGCAATAAGAATTAGTATTTATATCCTTCTGGGACAAATGGAATTTGCAGTTCTGCTTTGGTATTTTTTATATATAATCATGTTTAGGAAATAACAAATGAGATATTATTGGAATGGAGAGCCCTTCCTCCCCCAAAACTCAAGGGCTCTAAGGATTGTCAATGTAATGACTTAAGATTTTAAGGCTCTTTCTAAACTTTAGGATATAAAAACATGAGGCTAAAAGCCTTATTCAAAAACACAGGCAAGGAATAGATTTTTGTCCTAAGAAACAGCTTGTGTTAGGCTATTTCCTTGTTTCTGCACCGTATGTGAAGTCTGCTAGAATATTACATAAAGGTTTATGAGGCCTTAAAAAGTTCCATATGAATTCAATCTTTTTTTCTTTTGAAAATTAATATTCTACACATAACATTGAGCCACAAGTTACAAGGAAAGCACTGGTTTCAATATAAGAAATGGGTTTTCTGGATAAGCTCATCAAAACTCCCAATTTATCATTGTAAAAGTTGAGAGCAGAGGTCTTGCATCACAATGTGAGAAACTTCCCCTGGTTTGTGAGTGAAGGAACCTATAGCAAGTTTCATTCTGTTTTTTGTTTGAGAGAAACATCTGTGTCTGTGCCAAGGGCAGCACTGGTTATCCTTTACCTCGTGTGTTTGACTTGGCAGAGTGGGACAGACAGCTCTGGCTGGAGGCAGTGTCCATACTCAGGGTTTTGTCACATGTAGTCAATGTTCAACACATCAGTGCCCACCTGTGGGTCTCCATTTACAGGCTACAGGATGGGGATATTTTTGGGTTTGGGGTTTTTTTTATTTGTTTCTGGCATATCCTGTTCTGCTCATACAGGCCAGGGCATGTTTTCTGTCTAGCACTGGCAATAATAGAAATTGAAATTGCTGCTATATGACAAGCACAAAGACTGGTGTGATGATCTGGTCTTGGACAGTTCTCCATGTACAACACTCAACCACGATGCCTTCTGCTCCCATCCTGCCAGGTTATTCATGTTAAGAGGGAGTTTTCAGGTAGCTTTTCCTTCTCTGAATGTGAGAATGGGAGTGATGACTCTTGATATGCTATGTCTGAGCAGATATTTAATTTTACAGGGTTGTTGGGGTTTTTTTTTCTCATAATCTCCTAATTAAAAGAAAGGAGGAGGAGGAACCCCAGAGGCTGGCAGCCCCTCTGGTGTGGGCTCAGCAGTCCTTGGTTGGCATTTAGGGACATTTCAGAGTAAGTACCCAGCACATGATGACAGTTGATTACACCTGAATTAGTTTAAATGTGGTGATACCCCTGGTAATGTTTCTGAGTGAGGTAATCACTGTGGGTGGCTGTGCTTGGTTTTCCTTCTTTTGCACAGCCTTCCCCTGTTTTGGGTAGGCAGGGAATGAGAGCTGCCATCTTTCCTGCTTTGCTTCTGCCATGTGAAGTGTTGCTGACAAAGCAAATGAGAAATCAGAATTGTCAGCCAAAGAACAATTGTAGCTCACAGTGAAACAGAAAATATCCACTCCCCTTTGGCAAATCCAGTCCTCTCACATCTGCTTAAAGGGTTTAAGCAATATGTGGACTTGGCAAAAAAAGGGCCCATGGAGTCTGGGTGATGATTTGCTGCTGAATGCTGTAATTACAAGGAGGCAACTGTACTTTGTGTTGGAAGTCACCAGGATGTAGAATAATGGGGGTTTTGCTTAGAATTATAGAATGGTTTGGGTTGGAAGGGACTTTAAAGACCATCTTGTTCCAATTCCCTGCCATGGGCAGGTTCACTTTTCCCTATCCCAGGTTGCTCCAAGCCCTGTCCAACCTGGCCTTGGGCAATTCCAGGGATGGGGCAGCCACAGCTCTGTGCCAGGGCCTCACCACCGTCACAGGGAAGAATTTTTTCCTACCATCTAGCTGAGATCTGCCCAGAAACTTCACTTCCATCCTACACACATCTAAATGGTTTAACTATCATAGCTTGCTATTTCCAGCCCTGTCTGCATTGGGAGCATCTTTCTCCATAAAACAGTATTTTCATATTATTAAGAGTTGATACAGAAGGGGCCAGGGGCAGAATCCTTCCTTGGAGCTTTTATGAGTGAAATTCATGACATGTTGCATGGTTCAAACAAGCTGCATGATTTCTGATGCATTAAACTGATTCAGCCAAGATCAGGGTTCTTGACTCAGGCCAGCTGTTGAGTGGGAAGGACCTTGAATTCTTACCAGCACTAAATTTTAATCATTTCAGCTGTAGTCCTTCAGTGTTTTACTTTCTTCTTGGATTCTCTTTAATTTCCTCCTCTTTTCCTTTTCAAGCTCTATTTTTCCTTCAAAATCAACCAGTTCCTCACATTCCTGCCATGCTGCCATGTAATGTTGTTAATATCACATATACTGTGTAAATCTTGGCAGAGTCATTGATGCCTTTACATCTTTCAGTTTTATTCTTTTAGGGAATTCCTCGTATGTGCAGTGCTGTACATCCCCACAGGACCTTATCCTAGGTCTTCATTTTCTGAATGTAAAGGGTGTACTTTTGCACGTCCCTGTTATTCCCATTTTTTTCATCACACCTTTTGTATGGCAGTGAGCTTCCAGGTTGCTCAACTTGTGGTCCAATTACAGACCTGTGATGGAGAGTCACCCATCAGTCTGAGCATAGGAGTGATTTATCTTAATTCAGTGGCTACAGTGCTCAGAAAAACTAGGGGGTTATCCCTTAGGAGAAATGGAGTGATTTTAAAGGGGACTCCCTGAATCTGAATAGGATGAGATTAGGATTAGATCAGCAAAGGCTGCTCAGTAACACCAAGTATGAGAATATAGATGAGGGACTCATGACCCAGATGTAAATCTTAAACTAAACTAGAAGACTAAAACTGAAACAAAAAGAGATTTTATGCAAAGATGAGGAGCCTGGGAAGAGAAGTAAGCAGAGCAGGACTGAGAGAGGTTCTGCAGATCTGGAGTGGGGGTGAGATATTGCTTATCTTTAGTCACTAACCTGCTTATTTGGAGAGGAGACATCTACCCACAGCTGTGCAAGTCTGGAAATGTTCTTGGAATGATGCAGCTTGCTAAGTGCAGGTACTGGGAATGGATTGATCCTTTTATGTGGTGTTTATTCTTGAACAGGTGAACTTTGGTTTTCCAGCCAAGTCCCAAATCACCTCAATAAAAGAGCTGTGTTGGAAACTTGAAAGGGTTGTTGAGTACTGAAGAAGGAAATGGGTCAATTAACTGTTAGATCATATTTAACTGTGGATAAATGAACCTTTGAACTGCACCCTGCTCCAAGCTCTAAGGTCTGAGCAGTACAGGAAATGAATTCTTTGGTACCACTCTGGGTTTTGGAGTATATCATTTACTCAAAGTGTACTATATACTTTGTGTACTTTATATTATATCTCAAAGTATAATGAGGTTGATAAAAGTGTTTCTAATTGTTGAAATCACAGTTCAGCAATGCCAATAACTTAACACCCTCTCTGTGATAGGAGAAAATGTTTTTATTGTTATAGTTATAGACAATAAATTAATGTACCCTGAGAGAAATCCATGTGGGAGGTTGCCTGGCAGCTTCCCTGGTACTTTTTTATTCCTTTGAGAAGGACAGGGAGTTCAGGTCAGGTGTTGGGAGCTCAGGGTCTAATATGCTGCCTTAGCTCTCACTCGTGTATTTTTTTGAGGGCAGGCAGGAGCTGATAGGGCAGCTGAATTTTTCATGTTTCCTTTTGATGTCTCCACACTTGACAGAATAAAGGTAGTTATGTGAGGCTTGGTGTCTGTCTCTTTCCTTCTCTAGTGGATGCAGTGTTTGATTGCAATGTTTCAGGAATTAATAAATTAATGTTTGAGAGATGTTCAAACACAAAGACTATTTTATCACTTTCTGATTACCATGGTTAAATAAAAAAATTGCTCAACAGTATCATCCAAGAGTTTTTTGTGTAACCACACACAAAACATGGTATTTCCTAAAATGTTCTTTGTAGCCCCTCCAGGTGTCCAAGCATAGACTTTTGCATGGAAGTTCTTTGGTCTGTGGTGGGAGCTGGCACCTCTCTGCATCTTCTGGTTATGACAGCAAAGCTCCAGTGGGAGCTTGGTGGGAGACCAGGTGTGAGGCTTCTGCAAGATTCTTACTGTAATGTTGAGATAGAGTGGAAATTATTCCTGACTCATCCAGCCTCTCTGGAGTTCATTTCCTTCGGTAGGCTCTGAGTCCAGTCTGTATAGCAACTCCAGTTATGCAGAGCAGCTGACAGCCAGACTTGTTGTGCACAAGTCCCTACCTGTGAAAATGGATTTTATCCCATGGAAGTTGTTGCCATTGTCCCGTGTCTGAGGGGCAGGACAGTGACCAGAGTGGCCTGGTGTTCCTGACACGTGGGGAATGCCGGGAAGGAACGCGTCGCGCATTCCGGCCGGGGTTTCCAGTTACGGCTTTTATATTCTACTCTTGCTGTGGCTGGAAACTTCTGCCAGCTGTCAGCTTGGGAGCAAGTGGCAATCTGCCTTCTCAAACAAATGGCCTCCATGTTTATTTTCGGTTTCATGTTTGTTACACTCGCTGTAGGTTACGAATCCTGGGGGGAACATCCCTGACGCTCCAGTAAGAAATGCAGCGCCCGCCTGTTGTGACTGGGGCTCGAGCTAGCCTGCTTCATGCAAATGCAAATAACAGAAAGCCCTGACCCGTGGAATAACCAGTTTATAATCAATGGAATAATCCATTTAGGACCTCAGTAACTGAGAGGGTTTCACGCTATGGTTTCCACATCATGAGCAAAGGGACTTGCTTTGGGATGCAAAGAGCGAGTGCACTCAAGGGTGGCGGTAGATGGAAGTAAATAATTATTACAATGCATTTTCTTTTTGTGTCTCCTTTTTTCTGTTTGTTTTGTTTGTTCTTGAGCAGATTGAAAACATAGATGCATGCCTGAGTTTCCTGGCTGCTAAGGGGATTAACATCCAGGGGCTGTCAGCAGAAGGTGAGTCCATTGGTTGTTTAAGATTTCCTGTTAAATGAAGAACCTGAATTACTACCTGTGATTTCAGCTGGAACATAGAGTGTAATGGAAGATTAATAAGGTCAATTTAAACTTCTGACAGTCTTTACTTATTTTCTCTCCATCTCAGTGTGAAAGGTAGATAAAATGTGTCTAATTTCTACACAGCTGACTTGTAAAAATAATTAATGCGACCAAATTAGAATTCAGTGAGTTCTTTACTACTTTCTGTTCAAAACCAGAAATTTCTTATCTCAATTCTGTAATTTGCACATTGATCAGTGTATATTTTACAGATAAAAGTGAACTGCTGTAAATTGTTTTCCTTTTCAGAGAAAAATTTATTTCCTTGTTCTTCAGTTATTCTCTTACCTGAACAACCATCCTCCTTTCTTCTCACTTTAAAGATTTTTCTTCTTTCCAAGTGCACAAAACAATCAAATCTAAATGTTTTGAGGGGAAAAAAAAAAAAAAGACAACATTTTCACCTCTAATTAATCACTCTGCTTTTGAAGAGCATCAGAATTTTTCTGAAACCAAACTAGGTTTATTGTATTCCTTTATGCCAGGACGTGTGGTACCTGTTGGCTCAGAAGCTGTTTAGCCATTATCTTATTAAGAGATCAAACAGATTTCTGTCATCCTCAGCACCAGCTTTCACTTGTACTTTCATTTAAATATGCTGGAAAAGCAATTGGGTTCAATAGCTGAATATATGATATGACATCTCCATCAGTGCTTTACAGAACAAATAATTGAATGTGTGGCATCAGGTGAGACTTCAAAGTTACATTTGATGACTGACTCTCTTCACAAACTTAGTTTGGAGAAGGAGGCTGCAGCAAAATAGCAGATATTTAGTATGCCTTGTTCTAACCTGAATACATCACAGCCAGGAGAAGAGGAGGCTGAATTTTAGGTGTATTCTTAGGCTGCATTAGAACAGCAATAACAAATATTTTCCTCCAAAGAGAAGCTTTACTACGGTCCACCTGAGGCTGCCAGCATTATATGCCTCAATTGCTCAGTTACAATCACAAGGATTCTCATGTCAAGAAAAGAAAGCATGAGCTACAACTTCAAACAGCAGAAAATTAGCTTGCCAGGAAATGATTAAAAAGAAAATGCAGCTGAGTCAATTGTAAAAGCCAATTTTGACCTTAGCATGGAAATATCGTAAAAATCCATTTCACATTATTTACCTGTCTCGATAGAAGGCAAAATCGAAGTGAAATAGCAGGTCAGTGATGAGAAAACTGCCTGGGTGTACAGAGTTGGCAGCGTGGTGTTGCTCACACTGGGGAAGGGACAGCATGATTAATGCTCATGGCTCTCCTGCCAAGTCACAAGTCAGGCCCAGCAGGATACATGTGCTTCCCATGGCTCTGCTGATTTGGGATTTCTGCCTTTCTTTTACACTATCTAGGAATTAGTGTATTAAATCACATGAAAGCTAAGAAGGGACCAGTAATGTTTGCTGCCAGCATATAAATGAGAGCATTTACTGGCTCCACCACTAACATTGAAGGAAGAAAGTGAGAACAACTAGAGAGGGGGAGGGAACGAATATATTTTTATAAAATAAGTTAAAAGACTTGAATGCAACAGTAAAGTAAATTTCTCTTTCTAGTTGCTCTGGCACTGTGTTGAGGAACACAGAATCATTTAGAGGAATGTTGTTACCAAACAAGCCAGTGTTTCTGTGCAAGTTGCCAAGACCTGCTAGGTCAACTGCAAATAACTTTATTTACTTCACTGGCAGATCCTCATCTAGGAGGAAGGAAAAGGTTGTGATTGCTTCCAAACGGGAATAATCACTGAAGTCTCCTGGGTTTGTTAAGAGCACGTATTTTTCAATTGTGCAGCTTCAGTGTGGAGGGAAGTTAATGGTTCAAAACTGGAATTTGGATGACTCCTAAATGTTGAAATAATTTGGGACTGCATGTGTCATATCCTTCCAGTGTTGAAAAATCCGACTTTGATATGTGTGTGCCACTTACACAGAGTCTATTTTGATGGATGTATGCAGTGGAGATGCTGAGGGTCTGCAATCACTGATGATGACTGTGCTGTGCTAGAGGCTTCCCTTTCCCAGAAACATTGAGGCAAAAAGGCATCCCCTTATCAAAGATTCTTAAAAATCTAAAATCCCCATTTGTGGTTACTAAAGAAAACTACAGAGAGCTGGAAACTTCTTTTCACTTCTTGCTGCAAATTATTATTTTTCATTCTTTGAACTGTCTTTCCATACCCCTGCTCTTAGACTTGTTTTCGACTCCTGGAATTGCAGCTTCCCAGCAAAGCTTGCTTTCCTTCACACAATATCTCCTTGCTCTCAAGATATTGAAGATATTGGAGGACAGAAAAGTGCAGTAGAAACTCAAACTGATGTCACAGATAAGCAGCTGCACATCTTTTGGATAACAGATGAGATCAGCTGAGCACATCATGGAACAGTGATGTAGGGGAAGCAAGCACCAATGGAGATATCCCAGGATGGAAATCTCCAAAGAGTGGATTTGTGGGGTTTCCTATGAAAACCAATTTCCAGTTTCCTCTCAAGTGTCTGGAGTGTTTGTTTCCAGTATCCAGGACCGTAATTTTTGGCTCCACATTTAGAATGGGTGGGTGACATCCTTGTCCTTATCTAAGTCAATATGATACTGGAGCTGGCCACGGGCTGGAGAGGACTTGAAGCAGGAAGCATTTGAGACTCTGGTGATGTGCAGAGTGCAGTGAGGCTGAAGTGCTCTCTGAAGTACTCCCTTTTGTATGAAGGGCAGGGTAGAACTGCCAGAATTACCTCAGTTTTTAAGATAAAAGAAACAGAGGTACCTCTGACAGTCTGATTTAAAATGCTTTGTTTCAAATCCAGAGGGAAAGAGACTGCTTTAACTCATTACAAGTGTTCTTCTTTTGATTATTTGGTCAAAAGTAGGTTGCTCTTCTGATAAAGTCAGCAGAAAACTGAATGGCCACAGAAAGCAACAGGTCGTATGTGGGTTATTGTTTTAATTGCCTCTCACTTCACATAGAAATCAGTTTCCAGTTGCATATAGCTTTGCTATATTTAAACAAGCAGGCCCATGGTAATTTCTTTTATCTTCTGGCCAGTATTTGTGCAGTTAAGCTTCCCAGTGCCTCTGGATCTGTTTAGTTATGCTTCAACCTGTGAGTAAATGCTACTTTCCTTACGGTTCCTGTGAGTAATTTGAGTTCTTTACAGGAGATAAGGAAATCCTTTTTACTGCGTTCTGCTGTATTTTGTGTCTGTTCTACTTCCATCCCTGTCCTCCCAAGCTGAACACAGATTATTGAAAGGAACCTGCAGATAAGAGAAGGAACCTGCCTGGTGCAGTGAGAGAAGGCTGGGTTTGTGCATGGCACTGCATGGGAGCAGGAGTGGGCTGGGCAAAGGGGGAACAGGCAGGGTTAACTGGGACCCACTGTTCAGGAAGAGACTGAAATTGGCCAAGAAAACAAAAGAAGACTGAAAATGGCTGCAGAAGGGCCCTGGGAATGATAATCCTATAAACAAAGGAATGGGGTGTCAGTGGAGGGAGAGAGCACTGATGGAGGGGCCAGGCTGCAGGGAGGAAAAAATGACTAAGGAAACTGAGTCAAGAAGTGTGAGAGGAAAGGAATATCCTGGGTCTTGGTGGCTACCAAGGCCACTTAGAGAAGGGCTAATATTCTCTGAAGACATGGGCATGGGTTGAGACAAATTTCAGGAAGAAAGTAAATTATATTAGTGTCTGGGAAGGGAAAGTCGACTGAGGTGCAGGTAGACAAGGAGACCAAAGCTGGAAACTGGTACAGAATGGGAAACAACAGCTTTAAATCTTGAGCCTTGGATCTGCTGGGTGAAGTGCTGAGGATTAGGAGCAGAAGCTTGTTTATACAGCAAAGAGGAGCAATGTAGCAGAAATGTGGCTGGGAGAGGGAGTAAAGGATGGGGTGAGGCCCATCACAGACTCAGAGCAACCTTTCAGCCAGAACTGGAAATAAATGAAAATTCTGGTTCTTGCCTTTGTGCTTGGCCACTGTCTTGCCCCATGTCCTTTTCTTCTTTCTTTCTCATAGGGCAACAGCAAGCTTTTAGTTCAAATTATCTGTACAACACAAAAGTTCAGATGTTTGATGTAGCTTTTTTAATTTACTTTTTTAATTTAGGAAATTAAACATGCTAAATAATTAAGTCACAGCACATTAAGGTTGTCTTCAAGAAAGAATTTGCCCTCTGGTGTATTAATTATGATACAGTGCATGGTCTGATACACTTCTTAATCTTTGTATTTGTTTGCTTTTACTCTTTTTGCATTTGATATTGCATAGAAGAGCAGGATGACATTCAGGAATTGAAAAGTTTATACTTTTATAGCTTGAGTGTCAAGCTATCTTTAGGTACATTGGGTGCCCTTCCCTTATCAGCTTGTGGTAGTATCAAAGCTGCCAATTATCTATTTGAATACAGCTATGTCACCGAATAACTATATTTTCTGGTGCAAAACCTGCATCAAATTTTCTTAGTGGAAATGATTATTCTGATATTCCAGAAATATGTGTGAGAATGGAGTAATTTCTTCCTTGTGCAAGTTTAGGACTGAGAAATCATTTACAGTGCACTGTCCTTAATACAATTGTTACTGTGGAAGTTCTGTTTTGGGGTTTTAGCTGTGTTAGTTTAAGGGAAAGGTTCAAAGGGACTTGCTTTTTCAGCACAGTGGCATTAACACAGACTGCAGTGGAAATGTGAGATATTGCTCAGTCACCGCAGGGGAGAGATTAGTTATTTATTTGTCATTGGTGCTCACTGGCAATCAACTGTAATGCCAATTAGATGTGCAGAAAGAAACTTATCCTAAAGGATATCCCAAAGGAGCTCAGTTCAGACAGTGTTCTGGGGGTGCAGTGGCTGACCCGGGCACTGTCAGAGAGAAAACACCCATTGATGGCTGACTTCTCAACTTTGCCTTACAGAAATCAGGAATGGGAATCTAAAGGCCATCCTGGGCCTCTTCTTCAGCCTGTCTCGGTACAAGCAGCAGCAGCAGCAGCCCCAGCACCATCCATCCCAGCAAGCAGGGCCTCCATCCCAGTGCCAGCTGGGGCTGCCCCAGCAGCAGGTGCCAGCCCCGCTCCAGACTCCGTGCCAACAGCCCCCACAAGCTGGGCAGCATCAGTTCAAAGCACAATCAGAAATGCAGTCCAGGTGGGGAAATCTCCTCAAAGTTGGGGGTGGTTTTTTTGTTATTTCTCTCTTCTTTTTTTTTTTTTTTTTTTTTTTCTTCAAAATGTAAATTGTGAGAGTTGAAGAAAAATGTTTTGTTTTTTTTTTTTTTTTCTCTTCTCATTGCAGGTTTTAAAAAGCCAAAGAAACTCCTTTCTTTAGTGCTGCTCTAGAATGAAATGTGTTGGGAATGGAATGCTGGGTAGCAATTGACTTCAAGCCTTTGGAAATCAAAACACGTGTGTTTAAATATGTTCTCAGTGCTGGAAATGTGCAGCCCAATGGATGTAACATCCCTGCTTGACCAAGTAACCACAGGACTGGAAAAGGATGTTTTTCTCACTATTCCTTTCGCTTCTTTCTACTCACAAAGCATGCACATTGTTACCCTTACAAAACATACACTTCAGGCATATGAAAACCGACTTCAGTTCTCAGATTACAAGAGTATCAGTCTTCACTAAGAAATGGAAGGGTCACCTTCCACTGTGGGAAGGGTTACTCTGGCAGTGGTAAAAGAAACAGAGCTCAGAATGCCTGGTGGCAATCAAAATTGAATCTAGACTTTTTGGTCAAAAAGAATATGTTGCTTGCTTTGCATGAAAAATAATTTTCATAGTTGGTGTTTGTTGACACTCCCAGATCCGAGTACAGATCACTAGAAAGGGGTTTTGTTCCTTGAATGTCTTTAATGCTAGGAGTGCTCTGCCCAGGTTGGAATAAAAGCAGTTTTCTGAGGCAGTACCACAGTAAATGCATGTGCAGTCTTCTGCTCTGACCCTGAACTGCTAAAACAGGGAGGGTTTAGTGGGAATAAGAAACAGAATTAAAAGCAGAAATCATATTTGCACAATTACTAAAGTATGAAGGCTTTTGGTTTTTACATATCTCACATTGGGGCTTGTTTGTGTTAACACACCTTGAGGTGAACGCTGGCTTAAGTGCTGCCTTATGAGGGATTTAAACAATTTAACTGAAGCCTTCCAAGTGAGACTACTCAGAGGTTATTTGGGTTTGGCTTTTATGTCTTTCTTCACAAATTATGCTCATTTGGGTGTAAAGAATAGGTTTGTATAATTGAAAAAATAATGTTCCTACAGCATGTATAAACAGGAAATAATTACTGTAAAATAAAGATGCATTTGGAGAGATTTCTGCAGCATTTCTGTCAGACATGCAGAGATGATGAACACTCTTTTGCTGTTTTCAGACCATTGTGTAGATTGGGCTGAGTTTCAAATAATTGGAAAATATGTATATCCTGAAGATCTTTAATGTCATGTTTTCTTAGTATGTAGTGAAGTCAAATTGCTCAGATTCTACAGAAAGTATATATAATAAAGGAGTGAGAAGGAAAAGAGGAATAGATTTGGGGGTTGCATGCAGATTTGCATGTTCATAACTCTGTAAAAATTAATTAATTTCAGACTGTAGTTGTTTTGACCTGAAGTCATACTTGGGCAAGAAGCTTTATATTCCTGTGAAATTCATAAATCACCCTTTTCTCCCTAAGACCAGTTACTAAGTTCAGTGGCTTTAAAAAACCCAAAAAACCGTTTCTTTGTTCAATGTTCTCTTCCGCTTTTTCTTTCCTGTCACAGTGCATCTCCCAGGGACTCATCTCAAAGCAAAATCATCCGATTCACTCTTGGTCAGAAAAGGTCTTCTAGGTTAGCATTTCTTCATCTTCTGCAAAGCATGAATAATCCTTTTGCAATATTTCTGCGTGCATGTTTAGGGTTCCTGTTGAAAACAGTTTGTAACTAGGCCGTTATAAACGCCTGAAATGGGAAAGTTTTAGATGAATTTAATTTTTTTCTCCTTTTTTTTTTTTTTTTTGAGGTATGGAATGCATTTTGGCCCTCAAGGAGATAATTTGATTTTCTTGTTCTTAGGAGCTTTTGCTTTTGAGAACAAAACATGGTTCTGGGAGTTCTAGCCCCACTGTATTAATTATATTTTGATCTTCATTATTGAAATCATAGAGTCATAGAATGTTTTGGGTTGGAAGTGACCTTAAAGATCATCCAGTTCCATGGCCCATCTGAGCTGCACCAGGCCAGTGTCTCAGCTAGTGAGGAGAGTGTCAGCTGCATGATGTGAGCCCCACAGCCCTGGGGGGCTCTTGCTCATCAGAGCCCCTGCTCTCCCCAGTGCTCCCAGCTCAGCACCTGGAAATGAACCATGGGTATTTCAGTCCCATTTTTCCCCTGATCCCAGCATGACTTGCATGCCAGCTCATCTGTCCATCTCATCTCAGTGATCGTAAGGCTTGCTGTAGTTATTAATCTGGTTAATAATCTTGTTATTTAAATGTTTGACTAGAATAGAGTTTTAATTGGTAAATTATACCGTTCCGTTTTTGCTAAGCTTGTGAACTATAGCTTATGATCTTTATTTGGTTTGTATAGATTGTTTTTTCTGCTATATAATTTAGATTTATTTCCCACATCTTATTTCTTATATGCTGACAGTGAATCTCTGCAGAATAATCCCTATTAAAAAGTTCCACATTTCCTTTTCATGTTCTTCCTTGATCATGATTATGGCTTGACAGCTCGTATTTGCTTAACAGAGGTGCTGAGTAGTAAAAGAGAGTGTTCTCCAAGCTCAGTACCTTCTCTCTAAATAGCAAGAACCCAGAAGTGTCTCCCTGAAGCTGATTTTTGTCCTTAGATTTCACAGGCACTGCTGTGATGTATCTTGACCTAATACCAAAAGCAGGGGCTTTAAACCAGTTAGTTCAACTACAATGGGGAAAAAATATCTAAGAGAAATAATATCTTCAAGCGTGCTTTTAGCACATAGGGTTTTTGTTCTTGGTGTGTTTTTATTGGCAGTGACAATACTGACTCAAATGGAAAACTTGTCACTTCTTAAGTGGTCACATGGTTTGAGGAGCTTTGTTTACTTTAAAATATGACAGCTTTGCAAAACCTGTGTGGTTATGTGTGGGGAGCCTTTTCTTATCCATCAGTACAGGAAGATTGTCCCTTCCCAATGCTGGAAAAGTCCCCTCCCATACTGGGACCCTTGGAGCCATCCTGGGGTGGGTGCCCCATGCTCAGTGTTTCAAAACTGGGTGGCAGCTTTGGGCTGAGGTACCTTGTAGAAAACCTAGCTTATTTGCTGCCAAACAAAATCAACTTCCTTGTCCTGGTGCCTTTCTCAAGAAGTTCTATTTGCCACTGGTTGCCCTCAGCTTCTTCCCCTGTGGATGAAGCCTCTCTGGGGTTTTCTCATGGACCCTTTGCTGCAGTGATGAGTATGGACAACGTTTTAGCACCCTCCAGTGCTGGAAAAAGCTGGATAATTTGAGAGACTGGTCTAAAAGTCAACCTCAGAACCATGATGTGCTGTGCTGAATCTGTGGTGGTTTGAGCTTGTAAATTAATTTTTGGGTTTGTATTTGAATGATGCCTTCATGTCTTAGACTTTTTTGAGCTTTGAAAGCATGTGCATGCAGCTGCTGACATTTTGGCTTTTTCTTCATGTTTCTTTTAATATTTTCTATTTCTTCACTAGTCTTGGATAAATCAGTTTATTTAGGAAACCCTGCCAGGTTCCTTCCTGGCTTCTCTTCCTTCTCTCAGAGGCACAATGGTGATTTGGTCAACTGCGTCCTCACTCTTTCTGACAACTGGGACTTCTTCCTTTTACCTTATTACTGACACAAGTTATTTAAATAGATTTTTGTATTTTATATAAAGAAGCTTTTAAAAGGTTCTCTTTGTAAATGTTGGCTTTCAAGTGTTCTGAGATGTGATGATGGTGGCTTTCCTGATTCTGTTGGGCTTTTTAGAGAAGTCTTCCACCTTCCTTTTTGCCTGAAAAGCATAAAAGCTGGTCTATTTACTCCAGAATAACTACATTATTTTTTCCTAGTTAATTAGCTAAAGCTGGTAAATACAGGCTATGGTAAGAAAATGCTGGAAGAGACAGATGCCCAGACAGATGCCAGGCCTATACCAGCTCAATAATAATGTGGTTACTCTAGGACAGGGTACTAAAGCTTTGTGTGATTTATATAGGCTCAAATAATTAAACCAAGTTAAAGTTTTGCTAGGCTTGGCTGTTGAGGTTTGTAGCTGTCAGGGCAGAGATGTGATGTGCTTCTCTACAAAGGAAAAGGCAGCCAAGTTCCATCTTATTGTTATTTCTGAAATAAGGGTAGCCCTTACGTGGCCAGCATGGGATGAAGTGTCTGGCAGTCTGGTTTAAGAACAGTAGTGCCTCACTTAGTCTTAACCTTTTGCTGGTGGTATTGCTCCACTGAATTTACCTGATTCACCAGAATTATGGCAGGTGACTGTTAATTTTGTCTCAGGGTTTTTTTCTGGTGTAAAGCAATTCAGACTAACTTGTTTGACATACACTTTTCACATAAGACGATCCTTTGATTTGTTCTTACGGAAGCAGAAAAACCCTTTTGAGCCTTTACTTGTGCTGTTGACCCTTTTATTTTCAGCTTATGCATGGTGTCCCGTAGTTTCTTGCCCAGAGTGGTTTTTTTTTGCCTGTGTTTGAACACGCTGTAAATTCTCCCACCAGACTGCCAGGTCCCACCACGAGGGTGTCCGCTGCGGGCAGCGAGGCCAAGGCTCGTGGTTCCATCAGTGCCAACAACCGGCGCAGCCAGAGCTTCAACAACTACGACAAATCTAAGCCTGGACTTCTCCCTCCAGCCCCAACCAGCACCAATGACAAAGGTGAGCCCTTAAGAAGTTGGATTTTTCTTAATAGCGGCTTCATTCGGCGGAAATTGGGTTTTTGGTTTATCTCCAGAAGTTGTGTGCTGTAAACATGACGTCCACAATCCAAGAGCCAGCTGCCTCTTCTTGAAAAAAGTGTGGTCCTCCTTTAATGTATCTGAAGTTGTGGCTTGCTGGCCTGAAGGTACATCCAAAAAATAACTTTAAAAAAAGTCCTGGCACTGGTAACCGTGTTTTTCATTTTGCTTCAACCACAGATAAGGGGGAATGAATTAATCATAAAATAAGGCATTTTGATGAGTAGTTTGACAAGAATGAAAAATGACCACTAAAGATTTCTGCAAAGTTTTTATATGATAAATAGTACCATTTGCTTTCATTTCCATCACTATTTTGGAAGATCCTGTAAGACACAAAATTACACAATTTCAATATAATTTCAGGAATCATCTAATGTTGTGTTTGAAGGCAGGAACATATTATGTTTTATAAACATTGCAGTGAAATGATGTCTGTGGCAGTGCATCAGGAACACTCAGAGCCATGCTGTGTGTGAAGCAGAGCTTTTTTGAATGACATTTACTGACTTTGTGTCCATTCACTAGTTTAGTAAACTGACAGCATTCATTAGCTTGAGTTTGTAGCTCTGAGTGGGGCTGGGGGCTGTGGCTGGTGAGAACTGAGCACATCTCTCCAGTCTGGCACGCTCAAATTGTCAGCGTGGGCTGGCAGCAAATTCCACGTCCCTAAAGTCATTCTGCTGACAAAGAGGGGCCAGCACTGGGCTTCAGCACAGGCTCCTTGCAGTGACTTGACAGTCCCAACCTTCAGGCTCAAGTCTCCTCAAGTTCTGATAACTGCAATGAGCATTTTGCTCCTGGGGAAAGCACTGGTCTGGGTCAGCTTCTCTGTGGTTCTCATGCTTGATTCTTTCCAGGAAACTCTGGCCTTCCTTCTCTAGAAATTGTTGTCCTAGGACTGCATGTCAGTAGGTTTTGGAATGTTTCCCCAAAAAAGTTAGGGATCCTCAGCATCCTCCAGGGACATTCTGAAACATTCTGATCAGATTTTGTATAGCAGAAAAATAAAATTCACCTCTGTATAATATAATTATTGTAATTATATTTCAGATTAATGTATCGGCAAAATAAGCTAATAATTTAGTGATAGTCTACTTTGGTAAATCCATGTACTCTTTTAAAAGGTACAGTGTGGAAACATTAATGATTTCTCTATTACATCAGCATGTAATAGTTGTCTCTAAATCTGAATTAAGTCTGGCTTTCAGTTCAAAGAACAAGCCAACAGGTTTTAGTGTGAGCAGTAGAAACCTTGTTTTCCTCTGTAATATCTCCTAAATCTCTTTCTTTGGCCTTTTTGTGAATATTTTTCTGCTCATGTCCCATAAGCACTGGTCTGGGGAGAGATGGGGTGGGATTTGTCTTGTCCTGGGTTGGTTGGCTGGATGATCCCTACTCCATATGGGATGTGTGATGTTGTGCTGCATGGAGGAGAGGACTTCCATCTATTTTAGCTTTTTTTCAGTTTACCAAGATTACTAAATAAGGAAATCAAAGTACTGGTTTTAGTCTTCAAAAAAGAAAAAGAAAGAAAAAAGTCTTTTTGCATACAGAGAAATAATAATAATTTGTCAACTAACTTAAATATCAACTGCTTTTAGACAGTCAGTTCTGGGAACCCTCATTCCTCACTGTAATTCATCTCCTGAGAAAGATAAACTGGTTGCTGAAGAAGCACATGAGATGTACTGCTTCCTACAAATATTACAAATGACTAAAGGAAACGAGGCTGGTTCTTAGGCTGACAATCTACATAAGTTGCATTAACTACTCAGAATTTTGCTCTGGTCAAAATTTCCAGTCATAAATTATGGTCTTAAAAAAAAAAAAGAAAAGGCTTATGTAAAGTTGAACTTGAACTTTTCTTACAAGTATAATCATGACATGAAGTTGGTCTGCATCCATGAGAAACAAAAGCAATTGGTCTGACAAATTTTTGGCTTATTTTGAAGTTAATTGTAACATTGCCAGGCAAAGCTTATTGTCAAAGTGCTAAGACAATTCAGCTTTTCTGACCCATATCCTGTGTTTTGCCTAAGAAAATGAGACTTGCATGATTGTGCTGTGTGCCAGGCTTGGTAAGTTTTCATCTCTTTACCCAGTACCTGCTCTGTTGTGTGTTTTTGAGGAAGGAAATGGGAGAAATAAAAAATCAGCCTCTTCTGGCATGATTCATTACCTTGTGATAGAAGGTGGCCTTCAGTGTTTGAATGTTTGAATCATGTCTTACAAATAGCAGGTTATAATTTTTAGCTTTTATTCATCTGTAGCCTTTCCCTCCAAATGCAAATTGTCTTGTTAGTCAATTGTCTGTGTCTTGTGGCAATGAAAGTGCATTAATTCAAACAGAATGCATCAGAAAGGAAAAGGACAGCAAATGGAGCATGGAAGAGCAGCCAGCTACTGGGAAATAAATAACCTAGATTTTTAGAAAGATTCTGTAAATCAGTTACTGATGAGAGCACTGATTTTCTGGAAATCTTGGGGAAAGGATTTGTGTGATATAAAAAATGATTGCACCATTGCAGGAAAATAAGAGATTCTTGGATGGATGCATGTGTTTGATGTGAGATGCACACGTGCTCTTAGCCAAGGAGCCTGTAAAGAGATGCAAATCTTCTCTTCCCCACAGCTGATCTGGTCTCCTCAGGTTTTGGTTTTTTTTCTCAGTCTCCACATGTTGTCTGACACCACTTTCAATATATAGAGAAGGGATAAGGCTTCTCTAGTAAGGATCACTCAGATCCTTCAGTCCTATAGACACCTTCTTTGAGGTTGGGGCCTGATGGATGTAACTTGCTTTCTGGAGTTAGAGCCTCAGTTTATATGCAAAATTCCCCTTTTGCAGGGAATTTTCCCAAACTCACAGAGATTTCAGGACCCTCATTCCTCACATCATGAAATGATAACACACTGTAGTATGGTTTTTTATTTATTGTCACAGTGATTAGCCATTTATAATTGCAGGTACATTCCAGATAGGGTATTTTTATGTGTGTAATTGGTGTTGCTGGCTTTTTTTAAAGAAAAATGCCATTAAAGTCTTAATGGAATTTTTGTTTTGTGGGGAAATAAGCACTTAAGCTTGTGGGTTTTGGTCTTTTTTTATGTCATCCTAGTCCTTCCATAAAACTGGGGCGTTTTAGTTCTCCTCTGAAGTATCAGAATTACTTAGCCCATGCTTATGTAGGAATAGCTTTGGTTTACTTCCTTGTCCTTTAATATCCTTGAGCACCACAGGTCTACTCTGGCATGGAAGGCATCAGACACTTCCCATGGTCACTACTGAACTCATCTAAATTACAAAAAAATTTTCTAAGGAATGTAGAGAGGCAAATGAACATTACATTTCTGTGCCTGTGTGCAGTTAGTAGTTTCCTTAAGGCCCCACATTACCATGTCCTTCTAATTGTCCAACAGGATCACCAGATAAAATATAGCCAAAATTTGATTTGCATATGCAATTTGGAATACATAAATCTACTTTTTATCCATGGCAAGGAGGAGCAGAATTACGTCCTAGGTAGAGTCAAGAATGAAACTTAAATACATTGAAACACACGAGTTCAGTGAAGACTTTGAGGCAGTAGGTTTTCTCGTGAGTTGATGTCAGTGTTTTGCTTGCACACAGTGGAGAGAGTGTCTTGAGACGTGTTCTGAAAGCAGCCTCCAGTTCTGCAAAATGGTGGGAATTTCTGACTGGCTCTGAACACCCTCATGTACCCACTGTCTTCATTGTTCTTCAGGCACTCAGTTTGCATTTTGCAGTCCCAAAAGTCTGATAGTGTTGTCTGGGAATATTCTGATTAATAGTTGTGTCAAGTCTATAAAATCAATGAAGTTATGAAGCTGTAAGAGGCTATCAATTTAATAAGCCACCTCCACCATATTGATGATGTGATTCAGTACTGTGACAGGCTTATGTGCTTTCTTTTTATTTTTTTTCTTCTACTTTGTTCCTAATATTTTATTTAAAATAATCCTACAGAGGGCAGTAGACGTCTGTGGGAAAAATTACACTTTTCCTGTGGATTGAATGTTGGGTAAAATATCAGCAGGAAAAAAAGTATTACCAGACTTTGCCTATTTCTGCTTGATATCAAAGCAAGTGTTTATTATTCAGATTTATAAAGAAGGCAGCTTGATGTCACATTTCTCTTAGATAGTATCAGAAAAAGGAAAAAACCCAAGAATACATGCATGTAGATTCAGACAGTGAGGTGAAATAAATGACTGTTTTAATAGTGGTGTCTGTATGGGCAGGAGGGTAAGAAAAGTGTATGTTCCTCTCTTGCTCCTTTTATTTTATTTCTTTCAAATTTGGAGTAAACCCTTTTAACTTGGAACACTGTGTGTATTTAAAAACTGTATTTCATATGTAAAGGGTTGTCACTGTGTTCACAAGGATGTGTGATGACAGTTCTATGGGCACACATTCCTCTAGGGGAAATCCTGAAGTCTGGAAATAGGAATAAAATTCTTCACTATGAGAAGAACAAAACATTAGAGAAGCTTGTCCAGAGAAGAGGTCGGATTTCACTTGCTTGGAGGTATTTAGGACTTGCCTTGACAGGGCCCTGGATAACCTCAGCTTATCCAGGCTATCCCCATCTCCTGCTTTCAGGTGAAGGTTGGAAGGAATATCTCCAGAGGGTTCTTGTGACCTAGACTGTTACCACATTTTGATACCTGTATCTATTATTTCCTTTTAAATCTTTTCTTAAGTGTAAACTACTTAAATAGGAAGAGATACTAAGGTGTTTTGAAGGACAGTTGAGGAATTTCTTTCCTCTTAACTTCTTAACTTTGTGTTATCAAAATAGGACTGACTACCATCAGTAAAATGTTAGCAAGGAAATGTCACCCCCACTGCAGTGAGCAAACTGGTGTATGGTTACACATGCCACATGTGTGCTA